TTAAGTAGAAAGGCTAAAAAGGGGCTTTTTACCAAAGTAAATAGACCAAAATGGGGATTTAATCCTTTTTTTCAATGTCAAAAGGACAACACAATGGTGAGATTGTAGAGAAATTTGAGTTTGGGTAATAAAGCAACCTACTAATCATAGGAGTTTGTCACTTTGTCAACAATACGAAACATTACTCTTCAACAAGAGTAAGTGCACTATTGGTGTAGTTAGAGGAATAAAGTACAAATCCAAATAAGTAAAAATTTAATCTCCCTCATTTAGACATAATGTTTCAATTTTAAATAAATTGAGAATTTAACGTGCCACACCATTATCCTATTAATGAAAGAACTAAAAATTATTGGAAAATTATGCCCAATACTATTTTAGTATTTTTGAAAGTTTAAGGACTAAATTGATTAAAATCTCAAAGTTTAGAGACCATTTAAGTCATTCTGTTTTGGATTATTGGAACTAAATTTTTGGTTATCTGAAAATTTTCAGATGAGATTTCCATACCAATCCCAAACAAAATATTTAATTTGGTTATAATTTTAGACAACCAAAATTATTTAGATAATTTAATTATTAACCAAAATAGCTAAAATTTATATGTACCAATATTAATGTATCTTTACTTTTTATTGGTAGTTAATAAAGCTTACTCTTTTTAGTTTCGATTATTTTTAATCTTCTTTTGAAAACTCTTGTCTATAAATTTAACCCAAAAAAATAATTCTATATAATTGTTTAATATTAAAAATTTTCAAATAATTTGATAACTTGTATCAATAATTTCATTTATGACTCAATAACCATATTTGATCCAAAATTATATTAAGTTATTTTGGTTTTATCTAAATTATCCAAATCAAAATTTAAAATTTTGGGTTAAAATGTTGAATATTTCAATAATATTTAAAATGTGCCCACTCTAACCCTTGGTCTTTATACTTTATCTCCTCCCCTTGTTCTACTCGTAAAAGTTGGATTTATTGGGAAGTAAATATTGTCTTGTAAATTAAGTTTAAAACTTAAGTTTAAGAACTAGCATTTAAAAAAAATTAATTTTTTTAAATGTATTAAATTAATATAAGAATGCATATGTAAAATTGTTTCAAAAGAATAATTAATTTTAAGATATACAAAAACTAGCTTGCAAACACTTGACCATAATTACTAAAAATTTAATAATAAAAGCATGCACTGATCCCCTAATTAGCAGACCAACACAAGCAAAAGCGAGAAAGCAAAAATCCCAGCTCTTGATTCAAAGCAAAGATTTATATATACATACTATCCATAAACCCAAACAACGAAACATGATCATCAAGATTAAGACATGGTCCCCTACAATTTAACATCTAAGTTCTAACATTCCTTAAATCTCACTCCCCAAAATTGCTCGGATTTTCTTCATCCCAAGACAAATGCTTCAGTTTCTACATTATATTAAGTTTGTTTCACAATGTGCTGTAGTCGAAATGCAGAGCAGAGGGAGTTCTAATTAGGGATTTTAAGGGCACTGCTTTACTTGCACAACTTGCCGACATGTGGCACCATCATCTATCCTTGCAAATTTCTTTCTTTCACAAATTAATTAATTTATTTGATTATTATCTCTTGCTCCTTAGCAGCTTTCTGTTGTTTGATTTTCATGGTCAACTTCATCAACGTAAAAAATAAAATATAAAAAAAATGAGAATAATTTGCTTTGAAAAATTAATATCTTTACAGATAAAAATACTACCATCTGGTTTAAATTAGTCATCATTGTTTTAATTACTAAATCTAAACTCAATTGCGTCTATATTCGATAAGGTATTATGAAAATCAGAACATTTAAACAATTAGAATGTTAGGATATTTTATAAAATTATTTAAATATTTTTAATAAATCAACATATAAAAAAATTATTAAAGGTATTTAAATAATTTCATAAATAATTTTAATATTTTAAATGTTAAAATGTCTTGATTTTCATTATTCTCATTTAATAAAAAAAATAATTATTTTGAAATAAAGGAAGTAGTTTGCTTAGCAACCACTATACAATTAAGACCTTTCTAAAATTAGTGATTACCAAATCCATCGTGAATTTAATCTACTATTGCTTTAATCTATCCCTAAATTTCTGGGTTCTTAAATTAGTGAAAACTTAAATCTGAGATGTGACATAAGTTGCGGGAAGAAGAATAATTAAAAAAAAAAAACTAATGTCTCTCACTCTCTCTTTCTCCCATAGTTGCAACTCGCAACCCTCTCTTCTTTTCTTTTTTCCTCTTCTATTGCCTCCCCTCCCATTCGATAGGGATGGCAAGAAGGCCCCATGGGTCGAGGAGTGCCTCCCTATCCCTGCAAGGATTTTTGACAAGAGGTAAAATTTACCCACTATTCCCATTATTGGCAAGGAATGGGTCCTCAAATTCCCCAACCCTGTCAAACTATATTATAAAATTAATTTAATTATTTTTATTTTATTATTTTAAAACAAAATGTTTTAAATAATTGGGTTAAAGTCTAAAAAAGTATTGGGTTTGGTTTGGTTTAAAGTAATTGGACTTTAATATTAGGTTGAAATTAAGCATGAGCAATGGTATGGTTATGATTATGAGTTAAATACTTAAATTGGGTTGGATTTAATAAATTTCTTTATTTTTTTTAATATTTCATGGGGAACGGGAATTCTCATGGGGACCCACTAGACAGGGAAAACTACTAGTGAAATTTCACAAGAAGAAAATGCTTCACGTCCCCACCCCGCCCTTGTGGGAATTGGGGGAAATTGACATCCATACCCTTTGGCAACTAAAGAGGATAAACAAAAGTGAAGGTCCTCTCTATTTGAATGTGCTATATCCTTTGTAGGAGTCTTTCCCTCTTCTAGAAGTTTTTGTTTGGGCTTTCTTGATATTTTTCATTAGGTTTTATTCTTGGTTTGAAGGGGATGACATGGTGTTGACTCTCCTCTAAGATAGCCTCCAACTCTCCACCAAACTAGTACATGTCATGTTTGGTGCTACACTTAATGGGTGAGGATTGTTGTTTGATAGATTACATGCTATGCTAGCGAATGTCTAACAGCTCATGACTGTCACAGCGATGTTCTTCCTATTTTGGTAACTCTATATATCCCCCTACAAAAATTGTTATCAGAATTGCTCATTTTAAATGACTTTCTTCTCTTAGTTGTCTTTATTTTTCATGACATTAATTTTTTCGCATAAATAAATCTGTAGGTTTAGCTTCTACTCCCTCCAATTAGATTTAGTAGTCTTAGTTTAATTTTTACATAAAGTTTGATCCAATAATTTTATATAGTAAATAAATAATTAGATGTTTTTATTTAAGTCAAAATATTCAAGAAATATTGTGTATAAAAGAAAAAAAATGTCAATTGTCATCTTTTTACTATACAAAATTGTCAAAACCTTATGTAAAAGTAAAATAGGACAACTAAATTTGATCAACTGGAGTATTTCATTATGGTTGCCTTTGCATAAGAATTCATACTTAATCTCAAATTTATTACATTAGTACATTTCTATTTACTATAAAATGTATATTGCTTTAATGTGCTATATCACAATAATCAATGTCCCAAGAGTTTAAACTTCCACATTGGAAATCTCACATTCAAACCCTTAGATGAGTGGGGGAGAGTTTTGGAAAGAAGAGGATTATCTTTTATTGTATACTGCATAATTCGTCATACACAAAAAAAAAAAAAAAACCAATAATTAATTAAAGAAAAGAAATGAAAAACCTTAATGATTCGAAAGCACAATTTGGGAGCTTCTACATCATTATTCATTAGTGGGAGGTGCGAGCTTATGCCAAGCGCCTAAGGTATTTGTATAAATATGAATGAGAGTCGGCACAGCGGTACGGTTAGGGTGGCACCTGCCGATTTCGGTTGGTAGAGGAATGTTGGTAGGCATATTCTTAAAGCAAACTTGAAGCCATCATCACCGCCAACTAACTAAAACAAAAAACCATATGAATATACTACGTATTACACAATTTCGAATTTAGAAAGGAACATCAAGTGGCTTGAAAATTCGAAATCATTGGAATCATTCTTTGGTGAATTTGAGGGTTTGACTCCTAGAGGTGTCAATTTCCCCTTCTCATAAAAGACCCTTAGGGGTTATTTGGTTAGCCACTTCCTTGAGAAAAGAATCTGGGTAAGTTGATCAAAAATACTCTCAACGTGACTTAAGAGATTAACTTTCTTAGCACTCAAATTGAGATACATTATTATTGATTATGAAAAGAAAGGCAGTGGATTATATTGCCACCTTCCTCAAAAGTCTTTTTTTTTTTTTTAAGCAAAAATGAATATAATCAATTATAAAGAAGAAATAATCAATTATATTAGTATAATTACTTATTTCTCTAATACAATCAATTATATTGCAATATAACCTATAACCTTCTCTTTTATAATCAATTATAACGTGTCTCAATATATGTGCCAAAAAAGCTATTTTCCTAATCCAAGCCGAGATTATTTTTGGTCGACTTCTTTGGATTCCTTTTCTGGAGAATTTGGGGAAGTGGCCAAACCAAACAACCTAAAGGCAGTGTAATACTAGTATAGTTGCCACTTAAAAAAAAATTCAAATATAAAGAGGGATTTAGGATGCAACCGCTGAAACCTTTGATTGAGCATAAGCTTACTTATGAATCAAAATTTTTATAAAATCCAAGGTAT